TCTCATTCATCCAGCCTTTAGGGTGACCACAGTCATGCCTGCTGCAATTTTGTAAGTTTTTTGGAGCTGTCCTCCTTTGATTAATCCTTTATATCTTTTGTTACATGCCCCTAAATTTTACTCTCAACTTAGCAGCAATAGCAAAAGCAGCTTCATTTATATACCGCTTCATACCACACTATGCAGTCTCTAAGCGGTTTACAACTATAAGCTAATTGCCCCCAACAAGCTGGGTACTCAGTTTAGCAACATCAGAAGGATGCAAGCCTGAGTTAAGCCTGAGCCCTGGCTGGTAATGAACTTGCAACCTTGTGGTTTGTGAGTGAGTGGCTGCAGTACAGGCACTAACCACTGTGCCACAAAGGTTCCTTATCCATGATTCACATCAAAATCCATAATTTTGGCCACAAAAACTGTCCTCAATTTATACATGTAGACATATAGTAGAATATATTTAAGACACTACCTCAGCCAGTTGTCAGTCCCCAGTAAACAGTGTGGAGTAAGCAAAAAACCTGTGGAAAGTGGGGAAAAGGGGAGATGGATTTTGACCCAGCCCTGAAGCAACCAGCAAAGCTCACATTGTATCAGAAGCAGAAGAATGAATTGACCATGGAGTTTATCACATGGAGAAGATTGCAAGTTTAACCTGGTAAGAACCTGCACATAACATTGTGTGCAAACTGCTTAGAATCCAACAAGAAAGTGGCATGAACCAGCAAATAGTCATTTTCAGGGAAATACCATGATTTCATTTCCATTTCATTCACAAATATTTTGTGTGTGTGTGTGGTTTTTTTTTTTTTTTTTTTTTTTTTTTTTTTTTTTTTTTTTTTTTTTTTTTTTTGCGTAATAGCTGTAGTGTGGAAGCCATTTGTGGGATTCTCCCCGTTTCTGTTCTTATTGTGAGATTTTCCATGGTTCCTTAGGGATAATAAGCTAGGGCTATTAAAGGAACAGCTGCTCAGGCAGAGGCAGAGGCACACAGACACACAAGAGAAAAAGCTTGCATCATCCTCCCACGCCTCTCTCTCTGTATGAATGTCTCTCCTCCTCCAGCCAAGGCTCTTAAAGGAACAGCTGCTGAGGGAAGTCAGGAACACAACGGGAGTGAGCGAGAGCGAAGTTTACTTCCAGTGCTGCTTTGTCCTGCCCTTCTTCATAGCCAGAGCTCTTAA